GAGAAGACTTGTCGAAGGAAACTCAGCGGGACACTTATAAATGTTTTTTTTTATTTTGAAACAAAATTATCTTTTTGGACTTTTTTCGCGGATTCATTTAGATTTTTGGTTTTCGACGTTTCGAATGCGTTCCAGCAATCATGGTCACGGGATAGACTTTTTTTAAGATGATCCTTAAGGAGTGAAATGATCCCTATCCACTTCTGTAGAATTAAATTATCAATAATTTCCGATTGATGATGATTAAAAAAGAGAAGCCCAGACAAAGCGTTATTTAAAATATATTTTTTAAAAGATATGTACTTCTATAATAAGTCGGTAACATCCAATTAAAGGTTACACAACGTCTTGTTTACTCATTAATGGAATATTTTTCACATCCTGGTAGGTTCTTACGGATCGGTCTAGTATCTTTTCTATTATGTATTTATCACGTCATGGAAAAGTAAAATGTTTAGTTTTTGCACTTATGAAAATTCTTAATAGATTTTTCTTATAAATACATTTTTAAATATAATTTCCTTAACATAGAAATTTAAACTGACTTATTATCTATCAATACCTAAAAAAGTATTTATTCAGATTTAAATTAAAAGGTACAGCAAGAATTTAAAACAAAAACGTTATCTATGTACCTATCTAAAAATACCAGATTTCACGTGGACCTTGAAATATTTTATAAGTTAAAGCCATCCATCATAAAGCTACGCATATTTGTGAACATTATAACAATTGATAAACACTTCATTAAAAGTTTGTATTTAACTTTATTAGTAATATTTAACTTTATTTATGTGTACTCATTATAAAACTATGTTAATCAGTTGTATATTTCATATCAATAAGATAAAACCTATACATGTTTTGAGTATAAGTTGGTTCACGCATCCACTGCACATCGGCCGGAAAAACTATTCGGCATCCGGAAATATCAGTAACTATAAAACTATTTACAAATAAGTAAATATTTACCTAGAGATAATTATTTATAGTTTAATTCAATTCTCGTATTAAAAACTATGTTGATTTATGATTCAATTCAGTTCAATTCTATTATTTCGTGCCTTCTAGGAGTGCCAGTTGGGCACAATTTACTTCGCCAATGTCGTCGTAAGATGGAGATTGATTTATAATTAGTCAAATCAAAAAATGAAGCTCAACAAGTGGACAGATTGTATACACTTTATTTAAAGATTTGATAGTTTTATCTTTTCTTAAAGTCAAGACTACAACTATTACAATCATATATGGCAAGGACAAAAAGCCCACTTCAATTATCATATTATTTAAAGTCTAAAAGCGTATATATATTTTAAATTTATTTATAACTTTAGACAAGTATTTCGTCATTACCAGCGCTGAATTTACAGTTGGGGCAATAACGGATAGTGCCCAGGGCGGAAAATTTTTAGCGGTGGCAAAATTCGGAGGGTGTGAAAAAATTCTCTTCACGTTATCGGAAATCCTTTTTTTTATTCCGAAAAATGAATAATTAAAAAATTAATTAGTACAGTTAAAAAAAATTGAAATCATTTATAAATTATTTTTTTTGTGTTTTTCAAAAAATTAATTAAAATAAAAAAACAAAGTTAAACTTTATCGAAACTTTATCCATTTTATGCAAAATTTCGATAATTGGGCGGCATTTTCTATTATGCCCAGAGGCGGCGGTAAGGTTGAATCCGGCACTGGTCATTACTAATACCTAATAAAAATCATCAAATAAAACCATCAGTCACTAGAAACCTCACATCATAAGCGGGGTTTTTTGACATTTGATACATATCTTAAGTATTTATATATAGGATAGAATACTAAAGTTATAAATGAAACTATTAAGCAACCATCGTTTTAACTTTGTATTGTGTGGGTTTTAATGAAATGTTTTTTAGAGATTCGTGATTAAACTGGTAGTGAATTTGTATTTAAAATTTCAAAAATTTTAAAAATTAAAATAATTTATTAAATTTAATTTCACATTATGTATGAAAAACGATTATTTTATTTGTGCTCATTTCAATTATTGTTATTTCTGTCATCGTATTGTACTCGTAGATATAATATAACAAAAATGTATTGTACTTATATAACAGTGGTTATGTCGCTAGCATATTTCATCTCGCTTATTATGCTGTCGATCCGTCGCATGCATTCGGTGTCAATCTACCATCAATCATTTTACACGCGGAAAAATATGTATTCTTACTTTATAGCCTACTAGCGGACCCGACAGACGTTGTCCTGTCTACACGTCTTTAATTTGAAAATTTCAAACTTTTTTTAATATTTTTTTTGATGAAAATTATTATTCAAATTGTGAATCTAAACCATTCCCAGATCCACTTGAACACACACAAAAAATTTCATCAAAATCGGTCCAGTCGTTTGAGAAAAGTTCAGTGACATACACACTCACAAAAGAATTATATATATAAAGATATCGAACCTGTTAAAAATTGTTGCAAATCCGATCGGATCGCAGTACCTATCTAGTACTTGACTGCGTAAAGACATAAACATTTAATGAGCTTTAAATGTATTAAGATGTGTTTTAACAACGTGTCGAACAAGCTATTCGGGCTTAGACAAAATGTCAATCTACAATCGTTTACGATTATAAGACTGTATAAGACTGAAAAAATATTATTATAGATATATAGTGAATCTATGACAAACGAGTAAAGTTTGATAGTAAATTTCTTATAAGTTCTATGCGTACGGATAGCCCTGCCCTTAACATTCTGCAATAATTTTAATATTTTACATTTTGTATCTGGATAAAATTTTGAGACTACAGAAACATAAAGTAACAATAAACAAGAATTCTAGCCTAGCGCCCGTTCTCTTATCTAACCGAAAATGTTAACACTGCCTACCTACCTTACGAGAAGGAGCACACTGTACATACATACATATAAATTCTATTTAAAAACATACATTATATTTGGTATTAAATGAAGCCATTTAGTTTAAAATATTTTTCCCTACTAAGTTTTACCACGGCTACACCAGTATATCTTATTTGCCAATAATTGTGTGTCTACCGAGCTTCCTTCCTCAATTAGAAGACAAGAACAAGAAACAATAAGATTTTTTTAAATATGACAAATTGAAAAAGTTCCACTGATTATACAGAAAAAACTGATAATCACATTTTTGACTTTATAAGATGAATTAATCTAATTATAGTTTACTATATAATTAAATACGATGACATCATTTGAAATTAATATAAGGACTTAATATGAGTCAATTAAATTTCAAAGAAAAAGTTGAAAATTAGATAAGTAGCTCGTCGATGTATAACACGATGGATGTTTTAAATGAATGCTGTATGGTGCTGTTGTTCAATTGAATATTTATTACCACTACAACTACACAACCAACAACCAACAACAACTAACCACCACATTATGATCTATCTGTATACTAAATTTTATCCAAATCCGTCTAGCCGTGTTAACGTAAAGTAACAAGCATATACAAAAATACTATATTATATATTTTTAAACGTAAGTAATAAAGGTTTTATAAATATTCGTACCTTAGACATAATTAATGTTAATATACACACTTGACAAGCTACTGCGCGGCTGACGATAATCTGGTCGGACTGCTTTTTGTTATTTAATTCAACGTCTAATTATTCTGATGAATTACAACAATGTAAGATAAATATTTAATTCTAAATTCTTTAAGAATGATGACTACACAGTCAAAGTAAAACGTAGAATCATAAAAATACTTGTGTGTAATTACGAGTATGTACCTCAGGAACAACGCATTTACCAGTCGACAGTACGAAGCAACAATTATAAACACATCATATGTGAATTGAATTTAAATCGTACAGAGCATAACTAAAAGTTATTATATAATTCATAAAAATAACATTTCTTGGCTAATATTGTGTTAAAGGGCGTCATGATTTAAATATATGATATATTTGACAGCCGTCAAAAAGGAAGAAGTAAGAAATTCGCGCTGTCTATCTCAATTGCGAAATGATTTATATACTTACTTCGTATTTTAATGAATACGTTATAAACAGAACATCCCGAATGATATCACCTAGTAATGCCCCTAAGTGTGAAATATTTTATTGTGCTTAGATTTTTAATTAAGAAGTCCATAAAACGCAAAGAATTAAAACAAATACTATAGATTAAATTACAAAAACCTTCTATTAACATCTCCATATGAACACCTACACCTTAATAGCATTGAATACTATGCCAGAGGTAACTAGTTCATATCTAGCGCTGCGCTCTTCCCAAGACAGGCTTCGATGTTTTATGAAAGCGAAGAGCGATGCGAAAAGTTAGCAAGGAAAAACGAATGAAGAGGATAAAAGTAAATATAATATATTGAATTCCAATCATTCTTAAGTAAGCCGCTATATACCTAACATAAAAAACACCAAATAAACTTGTCATATATATTGCGATTTTATGGTCACAAAACCAATCTTATAGGGAAAATATAATCGATAGTAATAGCAATTTGAAACATTTGTCACGAGCGAGAAATTTATGTGCGACTATTAGATAAGTACCGGTAGTTGTAGGTAATGTTTTCTAAAGGCGCTAATATCGCCACCTATTAAATTATACTGCCAAAATAAATTGTAAACGATATTGTAATACGATCTATTATCGTCATACCTCATTTTTTATTGGCATGCCGCGTAACATCCAAAATCTTAACATGTACTTTCGGACATAAATAATCGTCATGGGCCACGAGTTTGCATTCTTTTATACATATGGTTATGTAGAGAAAGCTCATTATCTACTCATAACGACTACTTGCGTAATTTGTCTTTTAAAAAAAAGGTTTTAGAAGAATACATCACTTCTCCACTATAATAACAACAATTGTAAATTTTATCGCAATAATGTAATTTAAAACATAAAATATACATATAATTAAATAAAAATAGCATTCTAGTATACTAAATCTGCAAAAAAATTGTTTATATAATATTTAAAAAAACGCACCCTGTAGTTGTTATCGAAGTATTTCCAGCGACAAGTAATATTATCCTTAAATCACTCGCAATATATCGAACACAAAAGTCACCAAACGCAACGGCTAGTGGATGCGTCTTCCCCGACGCGCGGACATCAACTGTTCCTCCACCGCACACGTACCTTACGGCGTCGTGATAACCGATAACTATGGATAAAGCTAATACAAAAAATATTTGCGAAATATTGAAATACGATGCTTCGAACTATTCTTTAACATTATTTCAACACCTATCACTTATTATGAATGGATGGCTTTACGCTTCGGTGAATCTTCTGTGAACTCCGTGTGAATCGGATATTTTGTTTAATGCGACCTTTCTATATTAAATCTAAAGTGAGTGTTATTGGCTTTATTTAATCATAATATGTCTAATTTAGCCCAAAACTTAAGAAATTTCATATTTTTTACAAACATTAACGATGTAATTTGAAATGTACATTAAGTAGTCTTTGTAAGTATCGTTATAACGAAAATCAAGAGTGTTAATTATATACAAAAAGCATAACATACGCTTATGTTCTAGGTAATTAAATTGTGACATAATAGATAAGTGTTTTTCACGGTAAAGCTATTTTAAAGAGGCTTTCAAAAATATGATCATATGCATGTCATAATCTGTCAAAATAAAATTTAAAACCATCTGGATAAGAAACTGAGGTACCTAATTTTTACATTGAGTAAGCAAAGCGAATATTTTTATGCAATACGTGGTAATGCACTGCCAACTATAATCTTGGCATTGTTTTATTAAGGTTTTGCATCATAGGAATAGATAGATCTATAGTTTGGCACTTAGTGAGCGAAAGCTGTGTAATATCTATTACTTTTAGTACTTAGAAACTCTGAAAGTCTTGCTATAAAAGTTTTTTGTTTATTGAATAAAATGGTCAATATATTTGAAAAGTATTTCTAATTACGTTAATTTCAAAAGAGCTTGCCCTTATTTTGCCATTGGTGGTGTTGACATTTATAGTTTCTAATCTATAAAATGCAGAGTATTCGTATCCATATCAGAGATTCCGAACTCAAATTGATTTGCTCTTTACGGACTTGACTTATAATTTTGGTAAATAATTTGCAACTTTAAAAGTATTTGACGACGGAAGATGTGGCAATGTACGAAAATATATAATCTTAAATGGTGTATTAAATATTTAAACATGTTCAGTCTAGACAGCGGTGACGGCTCGGCGGGGAAGTATCCCTTATAAAGGAATCAAGATTCATTTGACAGGAAACTAATTTACTTAATTTAAACCGCTTGTTTACCTTACTTTAATAAATGCGAATGTATCGTATGTTTGTTTTATTGATTTTTCGTTTAATCCCTCTTTAAGTAACAAAAAAAGCAACATGTCGACGTGATTTTTAAAATAGAATACTTTATTGGCGTAGGTGATTGACATGGGTTTTTACACTGGCACAAATGACACTCATAGGATGTTAGTCTGTTGAAAGTTATGTGAATCACAGGTATTTAATATGCACAAAGCCTGCAGCTTTAGCAGGATCTATGCACAAGAATCTACTTGATGTATCCAGTGCCACGTTTTAAGTACAAAAAACCTTTTACCATGACATGCAAATCTCACAACCGCTTCTTCAGCAGTAAGCAATACTAGTTCGACACAAATTCCTATACTTATAATTAATTTAAGATTATTTATTCATAGTTTAACAGTTACTTTATTTAATAGGTGCGTGAATTTCAACGAATAACGAATAACTGCCCTATGTGTGAGATCATTATATACCTACGTATGTGAGATCATTGTATACATACTCTTAAGTTCCTATTTACTGCCCCGCCGTTTTTCTGTTTATCCAAGCTAATATTTGGCTGAACGGATTTCAACGAAATTTTGCAGCGAGTCTAACAATAGAAAGAAATTAGAATAATATGATAAGTAAAAATTCTCTTACTGTATGCAAAATACTGAATAGACATGCAGCTACATAACACAGTTCCTGTAGGATTACATAAACAAACATTAATTCTCATGAGGTCTATAGGTATATAAAATTTTATAACGGAGACGACTGTACTTTCAAACGAATTGTAGCTTCTTGGACTAACAATACTCGCTTTCAATTAAAGTATACGTATAGTATGGCTCAAAATGCGTGTAAAAGTCTATTTAATTAACTTAATAGATTTTATAAATAATTTTTATCTATACCAATATTATAAAGAGGTAAAGTTTGTAAGTTTGTGACGTTGTAGGGGTTAATCTCTGGATCTACTGAACGGATTTAGATGAAATTTGGTATGAAGATAGTTTGAGACCCTGGAAAGGACATAGGATACTTTTTATCCCGGAAATCATCCTTTAAGGGGGTAAAAATAGGGATGAAAGTTTGTATGGGGAATCAAGCTAGGGACGAACCCGAGCGAAGCGAGGGTGAGTCGCTAGTTTTATATATAGATATAGAGTTTTATATATACATTTATATTCATTGCATACTACAACCTATAAGTAACAGTTTATTTAAAAACTCATAGTTATTTAATTTCAATTAGTGTAATAAATGCAAAAATGTACCTATCTTGTCTTACCATCATTTTGTGTAATTCTAAATTGAGCGAAAGTCAACATTAGTGGCTTCATAATAAATAAATACACACGCGAACTCACCCGTAGTCACAAATTAGTATGTACTCGTAAGTATGTATAAAGTCAACACGCGTCAAATTAAAGCTACAAACAAAAGCTAGTAAATAAATATAATAAAATATACTCGTAATAAAGAGACAACAAATTCTACAGTATACAGAATATTCAATTTATCCTATTCTCAAGCATACGAGGGAATGCGGTCCTGATTTACGACATAGCACGTGCAAGCTAAGGTTAGATATATTATATATTAAACCTATCATTATGCAGGCTTTATTATCACAAGTAGCCGAACCTAAATTAGAGACGATTAGATACAATTAATACAATAACACAGTGTTTATCGTATACATTAATTATTTATTACTACCATTATGTAAACTTTTGGTCCATTCACTTGTATTTGCTTTTTATATAACTTACTAGCATTGCCCGCGGCTCCGCCCGCGTTCAGACGACCAAAAACCAAATTCTTAGGTTTTACATATTAGTATACTCTCACAATGCAGTTTTTGTATTTTTTCTCAGAAATGAGATATTTTCCCGCGGTAAAAAGTATCCTATAGTTATGTTGACCTAGATAACCAGCTATCATCATACCAATCATTCATCAATTTCATCAAAATCTGTGTAGTGGTTTTCTCGTGATGCGGTAACAGACAGACAGACAGACAGACAGACAGACAAAAATTCTAAAAACTATATATTCGGCCTCTGTATCGATAATAACGTCTATTTCAATTAGATTTTCCAAAAAATATTTAATGTACAAATTCGACTTAGTTACAATTTTATTATATGGATAGATTTGTCTATACATATGTCTATACTATACTATCTATACCAAAAAAGAAGTTGTAAATAACAATATTGACAAGAACACTCTTTAATAAAAGTCCTTAATATGTAAGATTGGATGATTAGCGTACTTTTTGCATAATAGGTTTAATTATAAACCTATTATGCAAAAAGTAAATTTCCTAGTAAAGGTTCACTAATTTATATTTTTTCCTTATGTAATAATGATTTTGAATATTCATGGACTTTCCAGCTTAGATAAAATGTGGGAATGAGGATGTAGGAATAAAATATAGCCTGAGTATTGATTACTTAACAAGCTAAACTGTCTCATAGAGAAAGCTACGTTGACTGCTGCCTACTAATACTAGGATTATTAAAGTAAATTCAAACTAATAATATAAATGGGAAAGTTTGTCAGTTGAAAATAACATTGGACTACCAAAGTGATGTAAATGTCATAGATAAAGACATGAAAGTTTACAAAAGTTTGCTCTAACCACTTGATGAAACAGCTCTCAAAGCTACACTATCGGAAATTTATAAAACTACAAACATATTGTGATTTATATTTAGGATATTAACGTTATTTTAATTTATTTATTTAATCAAAATGTATTTTATATGAATAAACGTTTACATTTTTCGTTTTACATTTCCACATATTTTATATTTAAACTAATTTTAATTGTCACGCATGAAGTACAACCTGTTGTTTTATGTGTACTTATTCTCTGCATTTTCTCTCACTAATAAAATATATTAGGACAAAAACATCTCCATCATGCATACTGAATTAACAGCCATTTGTGAAGCTTTATCATATATTTTATCAGTTAAACATAACAAAATTGTAATATTTTCTGACTCGAAGGGTTCTCTTCAACATATACCTCGATGTATCTCGTCTTAGAAGTACTCCGGTAATGTCATTTTAAAATTACTGTACGAATATCAGCAACAATCCAAATTCATAATTTAACAATGTATCCTTTCCCACGTTAATATTTTAGGAAACAAAATAGCTGACACACTTGCTAAAGAAGGAATTGCGGATGGCTTCCAATACCCACTAATCCTGTACTTTCTGATTATATTTATATTATTAGGGATTTGTCTTTCAAATTTTGGAAGGAATATTTTAATGAACGATCGCAAACCAAGGGTATTTGGTATAAAACTATCCAACCAGAGCCTTTGATAAGACCGTGGATTGACTCTGTTCGTCTCAACAGAAAAGATAGTGTAACTTGTTTACGACTTAGATCTGGACACATTTCTTCAAATCACTTCGGTTTTTTAATGAAAAAGTCTGATTCTCCTAATTGTCAGATAGTAGATGATGTCTTCCATGTTATGAAGGATTGTGCTTAGAATGAGTCATTGAGATGTCATTTATTTGCTAACAACCTCTTTTACCTGAATATAGGGGCATGTATGTATATAATATGTGTAGTATACTTGCGAGACCTGACTCTGTAGTAGCTAAGAAACTGTATAAAATAGTTCAAAATAATAGTAATAATTTAAAAAAAACTATCTTTTCGGATTATTTCACGGATTTATTTTGATTTTTGGTTCCCGACGTTTCGAATGCTTTACAGCATCCATGGTCACGGGAGAGACTGAGGTGTTACATGTCTTGTCTCTCCCGTGACCATGGATGCTGTAAAGCATTCGAAACGTCGGGAACCAAAAATCAAAATAAATCCGCGAAATAATCCGAAAAGATAGTTTTATTTAAAAATGCCAAACATTCGCGTAAATCTAAGAAAGAATTAATAGTCATAACCGTATAATTAGTTAATTTTAAGAAATTATGTACATATGTGTACCTAATAGAGCGACATGGTCGTTTTAACTACAAAGCTCTTAAATAAAGAAAAAAATGACGTAATCTTAAATACAAATAAATTTTATTTTGAAACTCTATTTTTTATAATTTTACCATTTTTCGTGTAATACAATTACATAATTTTGTTAATTACTGTATTTATGTTACACCTTTCATTTCATGTTGTTTAATTAATTAATTTTATAATTTTACATAATTTATGTAAATTTGAGGGTTCGTACATTAATAGCACATGGATAAGCTGACATAGTCACTTCGGTTTCGATTTAAACATAACTTTATACTCTCTCCCTCTCTCTCTCTGTCTCCCTCTCTCTCTCTGTCTCCCTCTCTCTCTCTATGTGTGTGTGTGTGCGCGTGTATGACAATTTTCTTTGTCATTTTCGGTATTATTGCAACATATACATTACTTTGCAACAACCATTTATTTTGTACAAATCTTTAAACAATTTGTTTTTGTGTAAAATATGTTCAAGTCCAACAACTCAATTGTTACACGAAAAATCCCAAAGTGTTGCATCAATTGTATTTAATATTTATGAGTAAATAATATTTGGGTGTAGTTTTATTTGTTAAGTCCTTTAAAGGAAATGCCATGGCGAAATGGATGTATGTATTTATTATAAGCTGATTACTGTGATCGAAAAGAGCGTATAAATTCCTGTCATGAGTTTTTTTTTACTTTACTTTGACTTGCCAATTATTTATTTAACAAAAAGTTATAATCATTTTGTTTTCATCTTGTAAATAATTAATCCTATCGTCATTGGTATTATTTTAAAACCAGTTTGAGCCTTGCTTTTATTATTGTTAACACAGCAAATTAACAGAGATACGTCCTTTAAAAATAAAACCTCAGACATAAGTAGCTTCTAACTGTGGTTTTGCTTGCATATTGCTATAAAAATACGTAACAAAAATTCTATATTTGAATATAAGTTTGTCTTGGATAAAAAATAGTGATTATTGCCTATAAGTTTTTAAATTTTAACATTTTAAACAAAACTATCTTTTCGGATTTTTTCGCGGATTTATACGTGTTTTATTTACCTGTTTTATTTGAGACATCTAAACCTCAGTCTCTCCCGTGACCATGATTGCGGTAAAGCATTCGAAACCCTTGGAATCAAAAATCTATATATTACTACGTAAAGCAAAACCTTTGTACCCCTTTTTACGAAAATTGCGCAGACGGAGAAGTATGAAATTTCCAACACTTATAGTTTATATAGAGAAGAAGTGCACAATACTAATATTTTTTTTTAATTATGCATAAAAAATACATCACACACACTACCATGTATTTGACACACACACGCATATAGACCTACCCTTTTGTTTATTGTTAAAGTCTGTAGTCAAATTGAAATTTTATAGGCTATCTATATAACTTTGAAAAAAGAACCTCAATATCGATTAAACTTAATGAATTATGGTTCATTTTCAACCACGAAGCGTTCACTAGTCAAAATAAATCCACGAAAAAATACGAAAACATGGTTTTATTTCAAATATAAAAATTTAAAAACTTCCTCTCTTTTTAGTCCTAATCACTTGCTGCTTAGCACGTAAAACTCTTGCCTTACAAGTCTATCTACATCGCGAAATAAAACACTCTTAAGCTGTGACCTCCTACAACCACGCGGATTGTAACTGTTCCATTAACGTAGCTGGTAACATTTAATAGATTAAAACTCACTTTTTTAAATATTTCCTACAAAATCAGTCTATTGTACACGCAACATTTATTTTATTTCTAAGCTTCATGTTTCTCTGTAAGTCAACTTTGTTATGTTTTTTTTTTGAAATATATTATCTTAATTCATATGGAGATTTATAACCCACCAGAATTAACAAAAACGCGACCTCCTCCTAAGAAACCACAATTTTAAAAATAAAAATTTTTGCACATAATATATTTATTATATTTCCACTTTGGAATTTAATAAGCGCGAAATAAATAAATTGATCACTTGTTTTTATTCTATAATATAAATATTGTTTACGGAAATAATGAAGATTTATATTTGTAAAACATTATTGTTAAACATTATGGGATAAAATTTTGTTTTCCTTGCTCTTATATTCCTTATTATTTGTTTATATGTCAGTGTGTTGTTTAAACCTAGAAATATTGACTTACTTGACTTATGTTCCTATGTACCCTAGGTGAGGCAGAGGGCGTCCACAGTGCATCGCCGTCCCGTTCGGTCTTGAGCTACGCGTTTGATTTCGCTCCAGGTTTTCCCGATGGCCTTCGTTTCGCCAATGACTGTCCGCCGCCAGGTCTGTTTTGGACGATTTAAAAATATTACATACAAATAAT